GATCAACATAGCTTTGCTCATTATTTAATATAAAATCTATATATATTAGAAAAATATAAGCGAGAATATTATATATTAAAGAAATATAAGCGAGAAACTAACTATAGATTTACATTATATAAAAGAGAAGTGCTTTCAAACCAAACAATAGAAACATGGAAAAAATTTGTATGTGAACGTCTAACAAGTTCTGTAATTGTATTTATTCTATTAGATATGTTGACAACTCTGAAAATCACATAGAAAGGCGCTAAGAAGTTTTATCACTTTAACACGTTTGCTCAGGAATATCTTGAGTCTATATACTAGCAGTTACCCCTATCTTGATGGCCTCACTACTATTGCCATGAACATAGGAATATGTAAAGGAAATGACAATATTCTTACAATATAAAGTATGGGAGCAGACTGGAAATGATCTGCATAGACAGATGAATCAATAGCGAGTAGAAGTGCTTAGACGACTTAGGCAAAAGCTGACCACGAATATGCATACTCTATTTAACAGCCGATAGAGTGAGCTCGGAAGCTAACAGCGCAGCTAAATACTTTACAGTTGCCGCAGAATCAAAATGAAGCTCATTAAATACAATTGTATAACGGTGTAACAAATTAATTAGCTTGGCAAAACCTCGCATGCGCATGTGTGTATGAGCGTGTGTGTGAGCGTGTGTGTGTGTGCATATGAATGTTTGTGTGAAACCCTCGCATTCGCACCCACAATGGCCAAATGCCAAATGTCAAACGCAACTCGTACGTGGAATTAAAGGTCAAAACTGCAATAACAAGAACAACTCCAGGCGTTGAAAAGTGCGGCTAATTAAAACATATATTCTCGCTTCGACTGACAATTATGTCAAATATAAATTAAACTTTGTTTGCAGCTGCAGCAGAGTGTTCTGCGGATACACAAATGCTTCGCCAAATATCAAAGTTGAAGCAGTCGGCCGAAGCATGCTCGCGTTTACTCGATTTGCCCTGCTCAATGGAGCTGCGTGAAGTTGAAAGTTGAAACAACTTTTCCGCATGACGTCACGTGAGCTTTCATTCATTGATGGCTGCATTTCATTCATCGCAGACAGCTATTCGATTCAAGGCATTATTTGCCGCCATTTTGCAGCAACAGTAGTTGCCTTGTCGCCTGCTACAGCTTCCATTCAGTCCAAGCAGCTGTTGTCATAGCAACACACACTCACTCTCCCAGGCACACCCACACACACTGTAGCAGAAACAGCCCACACACGTGCCAGGCTAGCAGCAACCGCAAAGGGCAAAGGGCTATCCACAGATATTCGAGTGTGTGTGTATCCAACAAAGGAGCCTGCAAATTTTATCGCAGCTTTTCCATGGCTCAAAGGCGAAACAGTTCGGGTCAGAGATAAATGTCTAATATATTTACCTTTTTCATTTTATAACAAAAATAAGTCAAGTTTTATTTTAATTAAAAGACAAAACAATTTTATCAAAATTTGGATTTCAATGAAACAGAAGGGAAAATATATATATATATATAGCAAAAGTGTGTTAGGAAAATACAGCAAGTGTCTGACTAGAAACACCGTTTGTCAGATTCCGCAGTTATCTTTAAATATTTAGTCTTATTGAGAGAAAATGCATTTGCTGTCAATTGAAATAGGAAGAAATTTATTAATAAATTATTCAATTACAGGGTAGCAGCTAGTCAGCCACCTAACCGTGATTAGCTCTCATTTGCTGCGGGCAATCGAAACGTGTCCATGTCAACGCTACACACATTTTAGTTGCGAAAGCAGTCGAAAAGGACTGTGTCGCATGGCTAGGGCATATTACATGAAGCCATTGGAGCTTTAAAGAGCTTTAAGAGCTGACCATGGTGCTTTAACTACACTTCAATTGCGGCTGCAAATAAACTGTTTACTGTTATTTCTGGCAGCAATTGTATTTTCTGTAGGGTGACCGATAGCCAATAACGGTTGCAAACGAAATAGTGGACAACTTTACAGGGTATTCGCATTTTTATCTTATTTAGAACATCGTCTTGAGGGACGATGCTCTCAATTATAGTGAAAGTGTAGGCGTTTAATCGCATCTATTAGCAACATAGACAAGCACAGCTATGCTCTGCTATGCTCTGCTATGCCCACTCGTGGGTTTCAAGAAGTTCGAGTTCAATTCCTTTGAAAAGAAAAGTAAAATATTTGGCCACGCCCACAGTAACATTTAGCTAGTTAGTCAGTCAGACAGGCAGTCAGTCAGTCAGGACGTCTGCCATAAATTAACATGCTCAAATTCCAGCACAATATTTATTTTCAATGTTAAGCCTAACATTTGGACAATACTCCTCTCTTTGGCCCCTTCTTGATATTGCGATTATTACGATGAGATATGTTGTTGTTGCTCTTTATGAGACTCGGTCGTTGTTTTTGTTTTAGGCGCGTAATATCTCGTTCTCGTTTCATTCGCATTCTGGCCGCGTTTTGATTGATGCTCAACTTTGACCTTTAAATGTCAAATAGAATGTGGGTCCTTTTTGTGTCTTCTTCTGTCTTTTTTTCGCTTTTTTGCTTTTTTGGCATTGCCTGCAACTCTAATTGCTTGTTGCTGCTGCCGTTGCTGTTGCTGTTGCTGTTGGTGTTGCCGTTGCTATAGTTGTTGCTCTCTCTCTCTCTCCCTCCCTCTCTGCCTGTTGTTTTAGTTGTGGGTGAGAGAGTTTGTTTTAGTTCACATTTTAAGCGTTTGGCTTTCGCGGAATTTCAGGCAGAGCAAAAGGGCAGTTGCTAAATGTCAAAATATTCGACATCATACATAGAGTGTGAGCAGCTCTCTTGTTTGACATTTGATTCAGGTGTTCCGGAATAATAATTAAGCATATTTAAATTGATGTAATACTTGTTCAGAAATTCGCGTTTTTTATATAATAATTTACATTTATTTTTCTTTAACTATTTATTAAATTTATGTATTTAAGACTATTTTTCATTAATTTTCTTTGCTTTTACAACGGAAATTAAAAAATATTTATTTCGTATATTATGCGCACACTACAAGTGCTAGAATAGCCTTTTGAGCGGGTACACTCTAGCAGGACGTCGACCTGTTGCCTATTTACGTATACTTAATATGAAATATTAGTCATACGCACCATGAACTGATAAATCAAATGCCCTGCACGTATGTCAAGCCATGGTCTAATTGCCAACTATCAGTTAATGTTTCAAGTAGTTAGAAAAGTGAAAGCAATTGCTTTATAGTTAAACAACAAATGACGCGATTTATATAAATATATATATATATATATATATATATATATATATATATATATTTATATATATATTTATATATATATATATATATATATATAAGTGTATATATATGTGCCATATGTGTGGCCTAATCTATTACGTAGGTAAAGGTATCTAAATGTTAGAGAGAGCTCATCACTAGCTCAATTAATTAGCTCTGAGTTTATTGCGATGACAATTTGTTGGGCCTCTTTTTATTCTGACACTCTCACTCTCTCGTTCTCTCACTCTCGCACTTACTCTCGCTCTCTACCTCGGCATATCTCGCCCACGCGGTTGCTGGCAAGACAGGAGCTGCCGTCGCCTATTGCAACAACAAATAGGAAATGCCGGTTTCTCACTCACATCGCAAACTTTTCCACCCACATAGAGAGAGCGAGTGAAAAGGAGGAGAGCTGCTCGATTTGCCATTGAGTATTAAAATATATAGCTTTATATGTAATAATATGACGAAACAAAAGCAACAATTACGCTGATACAAATTTTACTCAAATTGTTGTTGTTACTGTTGTTGTTGCTCCCGTTGATGACGAGACGCAAACACTTTTCGGGCATTTCGTTTCGTTTGCCGATGTTGGCGCCGACGCAGCCGATTTGCCGCTTCTGCAGCTGTTGTTGTTGTTGTTGTTATTGCTGCTGCTGTAGCTATTGCTGATACGATTTTTCACCGATGTCGAGTTTTCCATTTTCATATTCATTTTCAATTTTCACTGCTCGCGCGCGTCAGTAGCGCATTGACGGCTCAGCGGCTCGTCTCGGCTGCTTTCCATTTCACTTTGCCACCCGCGACGCGCAGTTAATTCATAAAACAAATAAATTTAAAAACTTTTTGCCAACGCAAAAAAAATAAAGATTTGCATATCGAAGAAACAAATATATATTGACGAAATTTCGGTGCCAAAAACTGTGGGGTTACTTCAAAAAATATAATAAAATAAGGAGCAAAATAATGTAACTACCGGCGGCACTTCCACAAATTGCAAGACAGTGTTTAAGCGACATATTTATTGAAGAACTGTTTATTCATATATTTAAATTTTACAAACTTTTGATGATCGATTTTATAGTGTTTATGAAATATTTATGACTATTTAGTGAATTTATTACGGCTCAATTAAAATTTTGGACGTGTTTTATGTACAGCCTAATAGCAAGAAAATATACATGAGTGCAAAAACATGAAATTATAGTTTGATAAATTTAGAGAAAAAGGTAACTAAACATCTGCAATTGATAAAATTTGTAAAACAACTCGATTGGAAAACCCGAGCAACAAGTTTTGAGAACATAACTATAAAGACTTTGTATTGTGCGGACAAAAAAAGAAATAAGTTTTAAAAGAACGGGAACGAAAGTTATAAATACACAAATAATTATAATAATTAAGTAAATATTATAATAAAACTTTCTGACTAATTTTGTATGCTTTTTCACATTTCAGGCCTCCGCAAAAGCCAATCACTTAATTACAATAAATACCTACTTTAAAAATATAATTAAAGACTGATTTGATGACAAAAGAGAATTCAGCCAAGGGAGACAAGTGTGAGATCCCTATAAAGAGTGCTCAACGTTAAGTGTGAATATCTTAAAACGAAAATGCTTAAATCTGTTTGAGCTGTAAAAAATTAGTTTTTAAAAACCAAATGGAGTCAACTGTGTTGTCGATGCATTTAATTTTTTGTTTTTCATTCGGTTTTCATTTCGATTTTGATTTCGATTCAATTTCATTTTGTTCGGTTCGGTTCTCACTCGTTGCAAACGCGTCCAGTCTCAAAAATGTTGCTGACAATGAGGCGACAGAATGAAGTGATAAGCAGCCAGCAGCATTCCACGACAACAACCTCAGCCACGCCTTCCCCGCCCACGGCTAATCAATCTGCTACTCCCGGCTTGAGCCTGGGGCCCACTAATTCAACCATTACACAGGATTCTTTAAACACGCCGACAACGCCGCTTAGTCGGAATCCATTGCAATCCTTTGCAGCACCACCTGCACCACCGCCCATTGCAGTGCCCACCACAACGCCCGCTTTTGGCTACTACAATAGCAACGCGCCAGGTACAGCCGCCTCGCCAGCCCTCAGCTATTTACACCATCAGCCAGCTGCTGGCAAAGATTCCGCCGGCCATTCCGTGGAGCTTGACGAGTACGTGGATATATTGCAAGTGCAACAATTGCTGTTGGACTCATCTGCAGCAGCAGCAGCGACTGCTAATCCTGTCCACGAAAACCAGCATCCGCAGCAGCATCTGCATCAGCAACAACAACTAAGTCAGCAGCAGCTCGCCAAGCCGCGACCGCGCATCAATTTACAGAAGGCATCGGAATATGCCGCTCAATTAGCGCAGGGTAAGTGCGACCGCTCTGTGGTTGGTGGTGCAGCCGAGCTGATATTCTGATCTTCTTCCTTGACCAGCTGAGACAACCTCGCCTGCTTCGCGTCGCGTTCTGCTCGACTATCCGAGTCCCTATTTATACGGCAATCATTATCATCACACGCCGCCAAGCGAGGACCTCGTGGCCCTTTGGTTTGGTAGCAATGGAACAGGTGAGTCATGCAGTCATCTTTTCCATATAACAACAAGTGCCTCGTTCCTAACCAATAATTAAGCCCGCAGTCCGGCTCAAAACGAGCCAGACTCTTAAATCCAATAAGACGCAGCGCAGATGCCGCAAAGGGAGTTAAAGTCGAATCGTTATATACTCTAGCTAATGTGCTAACTAATTAGATAATTATTCTTTATAAGATATGTCAAATACATAAGGAACTTTAATCTGAATAAACAATCTAAAAGCTCAGATATACTCTTAAATGACAGAGCGAATCAAATCTTCATTTTTTCCTATACAACTGAATTTCTGGCAAGACAACGATGATATAGTTTAGGAACTATACATCAGTCTGAAACTCAATAATTTCATAAGAAATACTATATAAAGAACTTCTAATTATTGTATGTATTTTTATTGATATACAAATGTATATCAGTATATATTTCATACTTCCTAAAACATATATTTTATTAGCATACCTTACTCAAGATCTACATCATTATTCCTTCATTTTGAATGGTTTATAGCAGTTATCTTACCGATTCACAACATTTTACAAGCTCAGTTCGTGTTCAGCAATGCCATTTGTTTGCAGAGTATAAGCATAAACATACATTGTCGCGTCTGTCTCTGCCTCTCTCTATTTCAATGATGCATTTGCCTGTATCATTGCATAATTTGCTGTCGCTCTGGCAAGCCGGTCGCTCATGTTCCTCAAAACTATCGCAGCGTCTATAAATTGCCAAAAAAATTAATCTATGAATGAGCTGACAGCCAAAGTTGCTCCCCTCTCGCACTCAAACCACATCTCCTACGACTTCTCTGCCCCTTCCGTGTAATAGCTCAATAAATATACATTTTTGGCGCACTTTGATGCCGTTCGCTTGCAATTTTTGTGGACGGCGCCTTCAATGTATTGCCTAAGGCGCCACGCGTTCGCTTCTCATAGAGTCGAAAACTCTTTTGAAACGTTGCCAAAAACTTGAAATTGAATTTTGGCAAATGATGCAGCGCCCTTTCGATTTGATTCTCTTTTTGCTCAATACTCGCTCACGAACTGCACATGAGTGTATTGGCTTTCTGCAGTGTTCGCTTGTTTCCTCATGAAGTTCTTTATATACGTTTAATGGAGTCGAGTCTAAAACTAATATATGTCGCCTATGGACATTGCTCAACATATAGATTGTGGATCAAAATCGCTTCCTGGAACATAGCAAACTGAAGTGTTTCACTCTTGACATCCTCTATATATTTGCATAATTATATAGTCTGCTCATTGGGCATGCCCAACTCCAAAGTATGGACAACTATAAAAATAAATTTAGATTTATTTGGACAGCGAATGGGTATGATGCAGTCGGTTGCGCCCAGCTCGTGCTTACATTGTTTGTTGTTTTTCATCATGGCAATGGGCAACAGGTGTTGGCTTAGCTGTGGTCGAGGTCCGTTACCCGATCCCCGATGCCCGATCTCCATGCCACTTGCGAATGCACGCGACGTCGTCATCGTCACACGTTCCATCGATTACTCGTCTGGCTTTGCCAAAATAAAGCCAGCGCCAAGACCACCCAAAGTGTGTCAATGGCCCGACATTGCGGGGTTCTTATCGTGGAAATATCGCCTCCGAGAGTGCATACAGCATGATCATCACATAGAACTGTTTTAACAAATTCTATACTACATTTTATACACTTAGTTTAGTTATTATGCGCAGTTTGTTTATGTGAAATAGCACATATTTAATCAAAAAACCTAATAAATGAAACCTCGCATAATTGAATTTCATTTACATTAAAAAGCATAAGTAATCTGTCTAAAATTCTTATTGATGCAATTACCTGATGCATCATGCATCATAGAAGAAGCACTATCACAGATTCAGCCCTTCACATGCTTCACATCTTCAGATGGGGGATGTTTGTCCAGTAATCCACATTTATGATGAGAAGTTTTGATGTTTTTCTCCAAACAACAAATAAAACACCCAATTTTATTTAATATTAAGATTATTTTATTATGAATGAATTACGTACCCTAAAATATGTAAGTCGACGCTGAACGAGATACGAAAGGGACGGACATGGCTGTATCAGCGCAGATTGCTATGCTGCTCCAGAAAAAGTACACTTTATAGATATTCATCACCTGTTTTTGCCTGTTTCAAGCATTTGCTCAGAAATAGTATATACTTTATTCATTTGTCATTCGAGCTATTTTAGTTTTCATTGGTTAGAATTAAGGTGCTGCTGCGTTTGCTCAGTATTACGATTCCAGCAAAGCCAAACGCCTTTTGAGAACGATAAAGGCAAAAAGCAGACAAAATGCATTTTCAAGTATTCGTATTCCCAAGATGCACACAAATTGTCTTAATTAATTAATATCATAAATAAGCGACGGCGTTTAATTGCTGAGGCATAGCAAAAAAAAATAATAAAAATATCAAACAAAATCTCTCTCATGGCAAAGTTAATTAGCCAGGAAATGACCCCGGCTGACCGATCAGCAAGAACAGCAGCAACAACAATTGCAGCTACAGTAGCCACACAGCTGAGTGACCCTAATCGACAGGAAGCTGACTCAATCTGAGCGAAAGACAGAAAGACGGACGGCGAGACAGACAGGCCATGGCCACAGCGTTTGCACATTCAGTTGCACTTCGCCTGCAATCAATATTCATAAATCTCTCTCCCTCTCTCTTGCTCTCTATCTATCTCTCAAAAGGTATACCAATTAATAACGTGACCCGTTTTATATATATATATATATATATATATATATATATATATATATATATATATATATATTTACATATGTTTATATGAAAATCAAGCTGGGTGATCGTTTCCAATGAAAATCACACACAAAGCCTTTCAGCGTTTGTCAACGACGTTGGCACCGCGGCAACGGCAACGGCAACGGCAACGAAAACAGCCACAGCAACAACATCAGCAATAGCAACAGCTACAGCAACTGGCAGCAACACGATGCCACAGTCTAGAAAAGTGCAAGAAAACGCGAGTGCTGAAAGCAACTGTACGCAACTACAAAATACCCTGTAAACGGTATCTGTTGATCTTCGCTTTTTAGGCAGCTGTTTTAATGCGCCCCAATTCCACCATTATATTTTTTCAAATCACATCACATCTGTATTTATTTTCGCTGACATGATTATTGAATAATCCATACAACTTATAACAGAATTTAAGGAAAAAGAAATAGTGAAACAGATTATTTCTAGATTTACAATTTGTAAGATATGCAAACCCATTCAACTGAGTGGAATCATTAAATATTTTGAGGGTATTCTGACTATCATGCATATACATATCTGATCTTTTATAAGCTACTTACATATTATAGTATTTCACTTATTTATTTATAAAGAATACAAAGAATTATAGTTTTTAATCCGTCTCAGTTTTTAATTAATCTTAAATTATATTCAAGAAGATTAGTAAAATATATAGATAGATTGTTTTCGAATTTTGAGCAGCCCAAGTATCCCCGCTTGCCAACTAGATAAGTACAGGGTATAATTAAGGCGACAATCGAGACTGTGGCAACCTTTGCGCCTTGTGCAACGGAAATCGTTGACATGGACCACACCACGGGCACAGCTCCAAGCTTCCAGCTTCAAGCTTCGACTGCCAGCACCCTCCCAGCCAGTGAGGCTTGCCTAATGTTTAATTAAGGTGATTGCTGTGCGGTCACCTGGGCCTTGTTGTTGTACGGCTGAGGCTGCGACTGCAGTTGTTTGCTGACAACAGCTCACGAATGATCACCAAATTGGTTTGTAAGGATTTCTAAGCGCGCTACACCTTGCCATTTCAAACACTTTGGGCCAAAGGACATATTGCCACGCCCCATTCAGCTGCCTCACTGATTGCCGTCGCTTTAATGAAGATTAATTGCAATCAGTGCGCCAGTTGAGCGGCGATTAATTGCAGAGCGCGAAGAGACTTGGCAAATGGAAATGAGCTAAGGAAACTGCGCAGACTTCCTTTCAGTCCGCTTGATGATGTGTCTTGGCCATGGCTTTGCGTTCGCCTTTGGCTGTGGCTGTGGCTGTGATTGAGGCTTTAGCTGTGGTTCACAAGTTCACGAGTTGCGGGCAACTTAATTGCCATTTGAATGGGCAAATGTACCATTCAGTATTTACTTTGTTGGTGGCACAATTCAGCTGATGAATTGCAGGCATAGAGTCGGACTGACCAAGCTGCCACAGTTCATCATGCCGAGAACCGCCGGAGCGCAGCAGCAGCAGCATCAGCTGTAATGAACCTGAAAAGCTTATCAATTTGATCAGCTATACGGAGTGAATCAAACTAGATTATCATAATTACTATGTGTATTCGAAAAGTGAGTCGTGAATGTATTTAATATATTTTATCTTTTGATAACAATTTTTGCTTTTCCAAAGCCGATAAATTTTGGATATTGTGCATAGATTGCAAATTATAAAATATAATTTAATTAATTTAAAATATATTTATTTTTGTTTCATCTCAATTTTATTATTTTTGTATTAATTTTTTATTTTTTATTTTATTTAAATTTCATTCGATCTTATATATATTTTTGGGTTTTTTATTTAAATAAATTATATTTTTTTATTTTGTCATTTGTTCTTAAATGAGCAATTAAAATAACCGTTCCATTCCACAATAAGAAGCTTTGCAATCAATCAGCTCCGTTACGGTTGAAGACCTAAGATTTGATTGTTATACATAATAAAAGATTTATATGTTTTGGTGGAACTTATATTTATATAATTTTTAGCTCTTTTCACTGCGCCACACCGACACCACAAATGGTTAATACCGAGTAAAACACAAGCTCACAGGACTTAGGAATACTTAACATAGTGTCGTATATTTTGTATGTTTAATAGGGGTATTCCAGCAGTTACGCTCTTGTTTCTTTTTTGTTTAGCATTGTCACCTGTTTGCATAAGATTTAAATTGGCGCCAGCTTCGAAGCCAGACTCCGTCTGCG